TATAAGTTATTTATCATAAATTTAAAATATAATTTATATGATAAAAAATATCTATTTATATAATTTTTTAAATATAATTTATTTAGTTTAACTACATTTAATAAATATTTAATAAAATACTAATTATTTATAATTCATCAATTATAATTCAAATAAAATTTTGTTCAAATCATCGATTTACACTCCTACCTACACTTTCCTCCACAAATATGCAGGCCAAAACTTTTTATTTTTACTCGTTCTTGTGAGCCCATCACCACACTAGTTTTGGATTTGTAACTAATATTCTTTTTAAATCTTTGTTTGATTTTTTTTAATTTTATGTTTGCAAATTCTTTTGATTTTTTTGATCTTTAATTTCCCTGAACTTGGATTTGCATTTTATGATATGCATTTTGAATTTACGTTTTTGTTTATTTTTTCATTTGAATTTTCAAAACATTCTAAGTTTTAAGTTGGATCTTGATGTGATCATTTCTTTGTTTCTCCATCAATAATAATATTCTATTCTTAAGTAACTTTTGTTTGTACTTGAAAATAATATCTTTTTATTCTTAAACTCGTGGTGAGTTTGGTTCCTTTATTTAAGAACTCATATAAACTTTTAGCACAAAAAAAAAAAGCAAACTAGAGAGACAATCGAATTAAAGTACCAAAAAGAGTTAAGAGTGACAACTCCTCGCAGTGATAAAAGGAATTTGTTCACATCATTAGTGGCAGTTCTAAAAGATATATTGTGGTTGCTAGTTGATAACAACCTTGAACCTAAAAAAGAAAGACAACAGTGACAGTTTCTCATGAAAAACACATGTTTTAACAAAATTTGTGTTTCTTTGTTGTAAATATAGTAACTAGTGACAGGGTTTATACGAGAGGAAAGATAATAACAAGGGCAATGACACTTAAAACTCATTTTTTGTCATTAACCCCTCTCTTTGACATCGATTCCTTTAGATAAACAAAACGATTGCGATGGAACTCAATAAGAAAACAAAGTTGCCTTATTGCTTCGCGCTTCTTCTCTGCAATGCTAACCAACTCCTCATCCTTGTCTCTAAGAATCTTTTCCAACTTTGACACTTTCCTTTCAAGTTGTTTCACAACTTTCATGAGGTTTAATTTCTCCCCACCTTCTTTGCTCAACTTAGCTTCTAACTTCCACACATTCTTTCTCAACAACTTCTCTTGCTCTTTTTTCTCATCCAATAACATTGTAAGCCAATCCACCTTGTCTTTTAGCTCTTTTGTTTCATTTTTTCCCTCCCTTACCCAATCCTTTGCAAACTCAACTTCCCCCAACATTTTAGACACAAGCCCCAAAACATGATCTTTACGCTCTTCAAGCTTCCCTACAGCCAAATTTAGTGCACCAAGTTCTAACCCTTTTAGATTAACCTCTATTGGTAAAGATTCAATTCTCTCTCCAAGCTTTTTCTTATCTTCCTCGTACCTTTTTGTCATTTTGTGACTCTCTTTGTTTTCGTTATTCAGTTGTTTCACCACATGAATCCTTTGGTTCAATACGCGATTGTTGTCTTCCATTATCTTTTGGAACTTCTCTGCCAAATCTTCCATTTTCCTTTCAGATGATTGCTGACATAACTCCACCTTACTCGACCAAGACTTGGCTTGTTTGTTTTCTGCGTTTATTTGCTCAGTGGTTTCTGTTAGCTTCTTTATCATTTCCTCCTGATCTGCCACCCTTGTTTCTAACTTTGCGTTTAGATTTTCCATCTTGGCTAGGCTTTCTGAATATTCTTTTTGGTTTCGTTCAATTTGTAACTCCAACTCTACTCTCAATTTTTCAACTTCAGTTGTTAAAGCCTTGGCATGTATAAAAGCTTCTTCTTTAAAACTTACGCGCTCCCTCCAAAGTCGAGATATCTCTTCCTCTCTCTGTGCCATTGCTTTTTCTAGTTTGTTGTTTCTGTCCTCTAAAACGCTTTGATTTTTGCATCGAATTTCCACTTCCAGTTCCAAGTCCTTTATCCTTGCAAGAAAACACTCCTCTTTTAGCACATTATTTTCATTTAATTCATTTTTAGATAAATTCTCCCCAACATTTTCTGTTCGAACCAAGCATTGCAAAACTTCTCTTTCTCTTTCCAGATCTTTGTTATGATTGCTTATGAAATCTAACTTTTGTTGCATGACATCAATTCGGTTGTGGAAGTCTTTCTTCTGGTTATTAGAAATAGTTAGGCGTTCCTTTTGAGTGTTATTGGAAATAGCTAAATGTTCCCTTTCTTTGTAGAAAGTTCTTTGGTTTGAATCATTGGCATCTGTATTGGCATTTGTTTCCTCTGACTTTGATTCTAAGCTAGAGGAAGACACTGAGGACACCCTATTACCCTCCATGCATGGAGTTGCTTTCATGTACTCTCTAGTTAGACGACCATACAATTTGTACAATGACTGGTATTCATCGTAGAAGTCCTCAATTAGCCCCACGACCTCTTTATCTTTTTTGGAGTTTCCATCTTTTCTGCTTTGCTCTTCGCTTTTAATGAACTTTGCTATTCGTGTGAGGTTGTTTTCAATATCTGTCAAGAATGAAGGATGAGTAAACATTCAAAAGTTGAGTTCATGAGAGGTTACACTAGGCAAAGCTTGTGTTATAAAAATTGCGAGTCACACATCCAATTTTGTAGATTTTACTTATTATTTAAGCACTCCCCATTTTTGTAATTTTGAATAAATTTTAATTAATAATAAATAATGTAATTAGAAAAAATATATTCTTATGTTAAACTTATGTTTCCTAAGCACTCATGAAACTAAGGATGATAATTGGACAGGATGAGGTGGGTTGAATTTGAATTTAAAAAGAGTATATTTATACAACTTTAAGTAAAATATATATTAAGTTCTTAATTATATTTTAATTCAAACAATATATAAAAATTACTAAATAAGAAAAAACCTTAAAAATAAAATTTGAATAATTAAATTACAATTTTAGTTAAATGTATAATTTTAAGCTTATTACTTAACTGTTGTTAAAATTTTAATTATTCAACTATTAGATGATTAATTAATAAAATCTTAACTCTAATGTGTGTATTCTTAAATTCATGCATATATAGCACAAGTTTGGAAGTCCACAAGAAAAATTTTGTACCTATTTTGGTTCTTCTCAATTCTTCGGATTTTCCAAGATCAATTTGTCTCCCAAAGGAATTGGAAAATCCCCTTAAGTGCTGCTTGATCATCCTTTTACTGGGGAGACATTCAAAACGATTACTTTTATAAGGAGTTTTCTTGCAAGGAACTCTTCATTTCCTCAAAAAATGATTAAGAATCCTGAGACTGAAAAGTAAACAGATCACATGACAAGTTAAGAGACAATTTTGAAACATTGATATATGCATATGGCAATTAATGCAAATGCACTTTAAGAGAAAGTTTTTCATAACTAAACCTATTAATTAATATATTACAATATAAGAAATTTATAATGAATATATTATCTAAAACCAAATAAAAACTAATAGAATTACTTAAAATCTAAAAGGTTTTAATTCCAACAAAATTTGATATAGTGTAATATTGATTCCTCTCTATTATATAGGACAGTGATATATGACAATTTGAATGTCATATAAATTAATGAATTATAGTACAATGATGATTATGTTTTCATGAATTAAATTTTCCGACCCATTCATTTTTTAAAGTTAGATCATAGGTATTTTTAATGAAAGATTTCTCAAAATATCCACAAGGTAAAACTAGTTCAATGATATTTTTTTCTCCCTACATTATGCATGAATTTAAGATCTTACGTGAGAGGAAAGTATACCAACCAATCCTCCCATCATATTTTTATATTCATCTTCTTTTTTTTTTTTTTTAACTCCTTTCTTTTCTTATAATATTAGCTATCAGTAAAAGAATCAAGTGTATGTCAACCTTTTTTTAATTGCAATCGCATAATAGGACCATCCAAACTATATGTGTTGGCTTCTGTATGTGTGTTGAACCTTAAATAAAATGTTTAACGTAAAGTGTCGATTGATTTAGCTGAAAACCACTGTGTTCTTGAGTTTGTATTGTTTTTTAAAACCATTTTTACGTAAAGAACATGTTCATTTAATTAAGCATACATTAGGAGATGATATTCAACTCCAAGAGAGGGTAAAAAGGGAACAAGAACATCGATGAAACAAAACAACCCGAAACCATACAATACAGGTATATATATAAGTTCTAAATAAATGCATGCAGAATTGAAGATGGATACACAAACATAGATGTATCAAAAAAGACAAGCCAGGGTCCAGGGAGTCCCCACGTGTTTATTTTTACAATATCAATCAAATTATTATCCTCAAATGAATGGTGGAATGGAATCGAAATCATGATAAAATTCGATTGTCATTAATTCGTTAATGTTCATATTATCATACATTATGCATTATGATCATCTAGTTTTGCCTTTTATGTTCCCTCATATTATTGATGCATTGATTATTCCATATTCATATTACAAACACTTTCATCATCTGAGAAAAATCATGTGCAGCAAAAGAGAAGATGGATTTTCTTCAACGAAATGTTAATGAAACATACCATGTAAAATTGGATCCATAACTATTTCTTTTTCCTCATAATAAACATAAAAGAGGAAAAAGGTAACGGTACCTGGGAATGGAACTCGATTTCAACCAAATCCGATAGGATTAAGAAATATTGAAAAGAAAAGGGAAAATAATAGAAGACAAAGAAGAATTTCAGTGATTGTTTTTTCTTTAAAAAAAATAAGAGAAAGAATTGCTAATAATAAACAAAAAAAAAACTTTTTTAACCAAAAGAAGAATAAAATATTTATTCTTGAATAAAATTATTATTATTATTGTCTCTCAACTGAAAGCGAGGGGTGTTTAAAAAACGAGGGATAATAAATTGCTCTTCCAGCTTATCAAAATCAAGGAAAAATAAAAACAAAACTACAAAAATCATAAAAAATAATAATAAATAATGTAACTCATTTTTATGATGAGACAAATATTTGAAAATTATAAATAATTACTTAATTAAAAATAACTAATTTTTTATCAAATAACGTAAGATATTAATACTTTCCCTATGCATTATTAAATCCTTAATCCAAAATTTAATTTCAAAATTAATTTTTACTTTAAATAAGTTTTTAAACACTTTCCCAAGAAATAAAATTTGAGGTTGTGTGAGATAGTAGACAAAAGGACATTTAATGGGAAAAGATATAAATAGTGCATGCTCATTAAGTTAAATAAAAATTTATTTTTACAAAAAAAAAAAAACTTAGATATTGAGTTGGGCTTCTCCTAATGTTGGGCCTTAGTGGATCCATTGCATTTGCACAGTCCAAGTTTCCTGAACAGGTATATATTTCCATTCAGGACTTAGCTTTGAAATACGAAGAGAGGGAACCAAACCATATCGAATCAAATCATTACCTAGAACCGAAAGTTAGGGTTTAAGGTTCGTTTGTCTCATCTCATCATCATGAGCAGATCAGGACAACCACCGGATTTGAAGAAGTGAGTGTTTCTCTCTCTCATTTTTATTTATTTAATTTTTAATTTTTCAAGTTCTGTCACACTCCATTGGTATTAATATGCAATTATCTGGGTTTTTTTTTTTAATTTTATTTCCTTTGGGGATTGTGGCAGGTATATGGACAAGAAGCTTCAGAGTAAGTGTGATTCTGCATTCTTGCTTTCTCTTTATCTCCATTTTTACATGTTCGATTCTTCGCTTTTTTCCACGTCATACGAGGTTTTTCTAGTGGTGTATGGTTGTTTAATTTTTTAGGTCCATGGAAATTTGAAAATTCCTTAAACTGCAAATTTTCACTATCTTTGTATTTTTACTTGGTCGCCGAGTTCAGTGGTTTCTGGTGATGTGGTGTTAAGCAGCTTGGGTTTATTTGGTAGTTGTGTGGTACTGAGAATGTTGTAGCGTGGTTGTTAAATTGACCTTTTTTTAGCTTTAGGGTTTATATTATGAATATCTGATGTCTCGAGTTTTTGTACTATTTCTTAGAAAATGATTGAAATACAATATGGGTTAGAGAAAAACTATCATAACTCATAAGTGCTTTTGTCTTTTTTTCTTATTATTTTTTAGGGATCAGGGATGCATTACGGTTTCTTTTTCTATCTTGCTCTTATCTATGTGCATGTTTATTTGTTGTTTGTGAATTCTGCTTGTGTTTTGACTGCGTCTTGAGTCTTGATGTTTATGTATGAACATGTGTGTTAAACAAACTAAAAAATTGAACCTACTGAATCTATAGCTTTATATACGAATAAAAATATCTTATGCTGAAATCCTTGGTTTTTCCCTGCAGTCAAACTGAATGCAAACCGCACGATTGTTGGTACTCTCCGTGGCTTTGACCAGTTTATGAATTTAGTTGTTGACAATACTGTGGAAGTGAATGGCAATGAGAAAAATGACATAGGGATGGTGGTGAGTCCTCTTCTGCATTGTCTTTTAAATATAAGCAGTCAAGGTATAGCAGTTGATAGAGTATGAGCATGGACTTTAAATTGATAATTATACCTTCTTACTGCAGGTTATCAGAGGAAATAGTGTGGTCACTGTTGAAGCGCTTGAGCCCGTGAACAGGAGCTGATTTCGTGTGAACATTTATAAGAATTTTTTCATGTTTCAACGGTTGTGTATTTGAACAACGTAGCTATTGAGGGTAACTTGTAATTGGGAATCATAATAGAATCACGTTGGCCAGTAATTTGGGGTTCATTTTCTGGCAAAATTGTCGGGTGGGATAACTGTAGTGATTTAGTGTGATTGCTGTGATTTGACCCTATTGAAAATTTGAAATATATCACTTTTAGCTGATTTCTCATCTTTTTATGAAGTATTTAGTATGAAAACTTCGCTTTCTCTCTTTGCACTAAAGTCTGAACTCGGGGTTGTTGATGGAGCTGTTAGAGTTTTTACTATATGCATTTATCTAAAGTCATTTGTTGTAACCACGGATGTAATTTTGTCTAATTCATATGAATGTGTGAAGCTTTATGTAGTCACTCAAATATTTGATTGTATCCAGTAACGTTGGATGTTTTTTCATGTTTTCTAACATTGTTGGTGTTGTAGGCATTATGAACCAAGTGTTTGGGCAAACTAACAAGATAAAGCAGTGAGTGAAGGCACTATATAAATCAAGAATAAAAATGTAATTCCCATTTAACTAGTCAATGACAGCGACGTTTTTTTTTCACCGTTATTATTTATTAATTAAAAAGTACATGTGTGAAACTATTACGGGCAAGAGTTGAAATATTGTTCTCTGAGATGTTTCCTATCCCTTCGGTATTACTAACTACAAAGTAAATAAACCTGTTGCATTTTCAAAATTGTATCTGCATTGAAAAAACTGAAACATAGCAGGTTGTTCGAATATGAAATAGATTAGGATCAAGGGGAAGAAATGGGCTTAATCTACTGATCAGTTTAGTCATGGACAATGCATTTGGAAAACTTATTCAGGAGGAAAAGGGTCATGTGTTGAGAATAATAATGGGGGTAGGAGGACTTCGATTTGTTAGGAGGGGAAATCATCTGGGGTTAATTTGGGAGGAATATATGGTTATGGCATCTGGTTTCTGCCCTAAGCTCTGGCCTACGGATAATTTTTCATTTCATACCATCTTTTATCTGGGTTTTAGATATATTCGAGCGTCCCATTGTTAATTTGTAACTAAATCGAAATAAAGTCGCATCAAATGATTCGAAGAGCATGCAAATGGTTTTAATACAGACCAGCCATACATTGCCGTAATCACCCAGTAAAAGTCCTGGTTATATACATCTCCATATATAATAGTTGATTTTAGTACTAACCGGGGAGATAAAATTGCGATTTACAATCCTTTTACACTAAAATCAGAATGAATACCGAATATTACAACAAAAAAGCAAAATGAAAAAAATACAAATTTAGAAAACAAAAAATGACAACAAAATAAAGGGCATTAAAATATATATTAAAAAAATAGATTACATATAACTTTTTGCACCTTATTAACAATTATTATGCCAATTGGTCATCCGTTCAGAGCAAATCAAAAGAATCCAAAGTAGTTAAATGATCATTGAATGAGAATGAAGAGAGAAAGCCAATGACATTCCATGCTTGATCTATCTCACTCGACAGCATGACAGAAGAATCACTACCCTGACAAATCAGATAAGCACTATGGCTTACCGTACATTTTAAAACAAATAACTTCACTATTATTTTTTTTTTGTTACTGTTGTAAAACAAAAAAAAACAGTTAGTTTAAGAGTTTCAATTATCATTTTTGTTTTAAATATGTTTTCCAACATTCTCCCAATAAAAATTTTGGCCATCTCGGTTGCAAGACAAATGTTCCTCAAATGTGTCTGTCACAAACTATAAAAGCCCGTGATTGACTTGGCTGTAGAAGCTACTGTTTTTGCCGGTTATACAACAATAAAACCTTGCCGATATATACACATGCTAAAGGTATAGCAGCTACAAGATATTGTTAATCATCATCAGAAGACAATTTTTGCCTTTTCCATTTGTAAGCAGCTTCCAAGATCTTGAGATTTGTTGTCTGGGTTTCCTCTGGGAATAAATAGTCGATGAATTCTTCAATTCTGCAAAACCAAATTAACAGGAATGAGGTAGGAAAAAGAAGGCTTACAAAAATACAGTAGCGGGGAAAATGTCGACAGTTATAAAATTAACGGGCATCTCAACATGCAAGATGACAAAAATTCAAAGTGGACCTTCAAATATGTGGAAAAGCGGAAAATAAAGCCACAGAATAGCCGTCACTATGTTGCATACAGAACCATATCAACTAACCCTTGGGAACTACCCAAAAGATAAAGTGAGTTAGTTACATACCTAGTAGAACCGTCTTCAGTGGCAACTTGCCTTCTCTTCTTGAGCTTCTTGGGCAGCTTAGACTGGACTAAGCTAACATCACCCAGTTCTCCAGACGAAGCCTCCATGTTGAGCCATTTCTCCAATAGCATTGCCCTTTCTTCTTTCAAATCTGGAGCTGATGATCTAAAGTATGTAAGAGCTTTCTCAAACACCCCTGAGGCAGACACACAAGACATAAAGAGAATCAAAAAATAATTTCACTAATGTTCAAACTGAAAACAAACAATTAAAATTAACAGCTTGTGTGTGGCACTGGGATCCCATACTTCTAGCATGCTGAATACATTGCTTCTTTTGTTCATGTTCGTCTAAGTCTGCACTGTCCATATCCATAGCCGTTGCCTCAAATTCTGCGTAGCTTATCCATACCTTCAAGTGCTTTGTTCGATCAAGAAGCCTTTCATAAAGTGCTCTTGCTCTCTCAAATTCTCCCTCAGCAGTCTCAAAGTCAATGTATGCCTGTTTTGTATTCACAAAGTTAGATATATTATGACCAATATTTGTAGTTATCAAGGTATGCAGTACAAAACAACAATAAAAGTCACAGAAGGAATGATAAATCAGAATGATGAAAAACGGAGACTATCACACACCATATTTAGATTTTTATGTGGCAATTGGCCCCTTAAACTGAGTCACGATATATGTGGGAGTTGCTAATATACATCCACTCAGTTAATTTTTTAAGTGTTGATTAATAATATCATCAAAGATTTCGTTGCTAACAAAGTAACAACGTAGTTCCAAAACATGCAATACAAAAGAGAAAATATAGAAACTTCCACCTGATCATCTACTAGAAATATTTATTAACAATACTTTGACAGTAATTCTCCCCATTTTTATTCAACTTCTTTTGTGTTAATACATTATAAAAATAGAAAATAATGTGCATATACTTAGTCAATGTGTTTTGAGCACAAATTCTGAGCCCAAAAGCAACAAGAATGTAAACGTCAAAACACAAGATTATATTCATCAAATGCCTTAATCACTTGTAGTTTTGTAAAATCATTTTTTTTTCCTTCATCACCTATTTTTCCAATGGTTTTAGAATAAGGCTCCATAAATTGATCTTTATATTTAAGAAAAAATCTACCCAACCTATTTCCATAATTTCCCTTTCCATTAAAACCCACAAATTAAGTAAATTCCTGTGCTGCATCAATAATGAATCAAGCAATTTAAGTGTGTCCAGGCATGTTTCTTGCAGAAGAAATAAATGTGTGTACCTTCCACAACAGTTCAGGCATGTCCAATGCTGGTTGGGCAATTGCAAGCTCAAAAATTCCTCTTGCCCGATCAGTCTCAGATAAAGATCTCTCCAATTCAGCATACTTACTCCATGCATAACAATTTTCAGGAGACCACTCCAGATATTTTTCATAAAGTTTTCTGCACCGATCTATATTACCAAGCTGCAGTTCTATCTCTATATACTTCTTAAAAATCTGTTGTCAAAAAAAAAAACTGAGTGAAAAGTTGACATATTGCAATGGAATAAAGTTATAATATTTGCATCAACAAATATATTACCTTATCTTTAGGAGCCTTTCCAATGGCATTTCCTAATATTTGACGAGCAGCCTGGAGATTCAGCTGACGTATTTCAAACTGCGCTGCTAGAAGCCATATCTTTGCAAACGAGAACTTCTGGTGAGGTATCTGGTTGAGACACTCCCTAAAGAAATGGAAGTCACAAAGAACATCAGTAGGGCCAATGCTCGATAAAATAATTCTAATGATGCTAATACTTTCATGAAAATTTTAAAAAAAGTTGTTTTTGAAGTGATTTAGTAAAGGATGGAAATAAACACAAGATGATCCTAGAATTTAAAGCAGATGTGATTGCAGAATCAAGTAGAAAGTAGTAAATGAACATATCTCTCTTGTAGTCCCAGCAAATTCTAGAGTTCTCATTCTTCCTTTATTCTTTATACGTTCTGTCCACTGTTTTAACCAATTTAAAGTTGATACGATTGTCAACACAATTGTTATTGGGTCTGTTTTAACTTTTAACTAATTGCTGACACTCAGGGCTAGGTGAAGTATAAACTAGATGGTTGCTCTGAAAGTGACATTCCATAGTCCATACAATCCAAGGCAAAATTAAAACATACATTCAATATTGGAATACTTGTATATGTTTTCTACCCAGAAATGCAAAGACCTTCACGCTATGATTATTGACATACTGTACCTTTAGATTTCTGCATTTACTAAGGGGCTATGTTCTATGTTCTTTTTATGTGATCTATTTTTAGCTGTGAGAGAGGAAGGAGAGTTATGATATTCATTGAACATATTTTAGTAGTTTCATTTCAACAGCAATCTTCCGAATTAAGTCACCACATGTTAGACGAGAATGAGATCACAGTAAGTTAACATGGTGAGCACTGGTGACACCAATTAATATATGACATACAGATATTTCTAAGCATATGTATATCTTTGTATAGAATATTAATGCTTGACAATACAGTACTAAGGACAACGATTTACATAATTTGAACTGTTGAGAGGTAATTACATCATAATTAACAGTTGGTATATAGATTACTGAATTATGCAAAACTCATTGTATCTGTATCTATAATCTAAAAAACAATAAGAAAAGAATATTTCCATTTAGTCTCCACTAATTACATGTGCAACAAATCCAATTCCAAAACATAAAAAAAAATACAGACAAACGCAACACTACGACAATGTTTGTCTTTCCACATGTTTGACATAAAGCGAGTCATAATTTCTTAATTTAATTATATGCACAGGGTTAACCATTAGTTGATGGACAAAACAGAGATTTAAACATGATAGTGAGTAGCAACATTCAAAACAAGCCTATACAATTATAAATTTCCAAACTTCATGTTCATAAAATGCTGCATACCTGTATACGTCCCTAGTTCGTTCTGCATCTCCAGCATCAAGCTCTTCATAGAGTGCATAATTAATCCTAATACAGAAATAACAAATATCAACACAAAATGTAAAAACAGTGAATAAACAATTAGATAGGGAAAGATAATTCAAATCAAACATACCACAAATAGATATAGCGCTGCCAGTAGCGCTTCTCCTCCGCCGGAGGAACATTGGCTATAGCCCTCTCATAAACCTCCCTAATCCTTTCCTTATCCCCAACGCTCTCTTCCAACCTTATGTAGTCAAAGCAGGAATCATAATTCAACGGATTCTTCTTCACTTCATCCTCATACTGAAACCTTCTCTTCCCAACAATGGCATCCTCAATACCTTCTCTGTCCCCATACTGCTTCTCAAAGGCCACAAACTTGCGATACAAGTCTTCCGCTCTTCCCTTGGGAATGCGATCAAGAGCAAACT